CAATATGGTTGGAGTAACAGAGCAGAAGGGAAATGGCATGCCTCGGTAGTCTTTATTGATCCATGAATATAACTACCTGCTAACATTGAAAAGCAATGGCTTGTCAAGAAGAAACCTAAGTCCTCCCTGCAAATACAAAGGGACATAATCATGGCCTTGGCATGGAAGTGCCATGAGTTTGGTTAGTGTCTATATGACAGAGAAGATTGCATCTAGGTATTTGCGGTAAAAAATGGCAAACATGATGGTTGACAGCCAGAGCGGTGGCAATGGCAGTCCCACAGGTCATCTCCTTCAGATACAATGTGGGTAAGTATGTCCTTTGCAAGGAGTTTCCATTTTACTCAAAAATCTATCTGTGGCAGAGAGACTTGACTTTCACGAGTAACTGAGGGTGGTTCCCATCCTTGTGGACTCTGCCCTCAGACTTCGGGGAAATACCCCACAGGGATCTCTTTATTGAAGAGCAGTGGTTCCGACCCATGTCCTCCCAACTCTTTTGTCCTGAGCAGCTGAAGGGGCCAACGTGCAAATGTGAACATCCACTTTGACTCGCTTATGTTCCAAACAGCTACCCTTGCTTTTCTTCCTGGGAGCCACCCTAGCTCTACAAAACTAATGGCATCTTTCAAACCAATAGTGCCTTGAAATCTAAAGGCTCCTCCCTCCAGAAAATCGTACTCCTTGGCAAAAGTTCTCCAGAGGCAAAATTAAAGAGCCCTTCACTCCTCTTACCCGAAGCCCCTCCCCCTGGTGTGGAGAACTGGGGAACAGAAGAAGCTGTGCTGTGTGGGCTGCATCTCACTTTGGATTCCTCAGCAAGTACTGCCATAGCCTGAATGCTGTGTGCCCCCAAATTCATACATTGAAACATCATCCCAGTGTGATGGCATTTGGAGGTGGGGCCTTTGAGAGGAGATCAGATCATGAGGTACCTTAGTGTCCTGATCAAAGAGACTCCAGAGAGCTCCCTGGCCCCTTCCACCATGCGAGGATGCCGTCGGACGTCGGCAGTCTATTGGAAGAGAGTTCTCACCAGAACCAACAATGCTGAGACCTTGATCTCAGACTTCCGGCCTCCAAACTGTGAGAAATAAATTTCTGTCATTTATGTCACCCCATCTGTGGTACTACGTGTAGCAGCCCGAATGGACTCCGATAGCACCTTTAGTGGCTATGTGTCAGTCCTTCTGGAGGCTGAGGGGAGGGGAGAGATCAGCAATTAAATGTCTTTTCCTTTTTAAGGTGTGTGGGGCCTTAAAAAAAACTTTATGTATCACGTGGAAACACATTCATTTCCTTTATGTACAGACATTTATTTAACCATTAAATGTAAGGGTAACTTCATGTGAAGAAAACATTATTCTGGCAGTCATTGTGACAGAATTCAGCACTGACAGGAGTAAATGATGCTGACTCGTGAATTGGCCTGAATGCTCGGATTTCCTAAATCCCATAAATGCATCTCAAACCCGAGACCCTGATATTAAGTTTGTCAAATATGGTCCCTGTGCTGGGATTATAGAGTTGTGATTATAGTGTCTTTAATGTAATGATACTGGGGGAGGGGGTAAATAGCAAACACAGTAGAGCTGATACATCCAAATTAGTATTTATTCTGGAAGACTATTTATATACTGGATGGATGCTGGCATAATACACAACTTCATTGGGACTTCTCTTTTACATTTTCCTTTGGAGACAATTGGTGAGCCACATGAGAAGACTAGCTGTGGGGGGGAGAAAAGACTAGCTGTGTTACTTTATAGTCAAAATCTTGCTTTTTAACAACAACAACAACAAAAAGATGCTTTTCAACTTGCTTCATAGACACAGATAACAATATGGTGGTTACTAGAGGGAAAGGAATTAAGGGGGAGTAGTAGGTCAAGGTGGGTAAATGATGATGGAAGGAGACTTGACTTGGGGTGGTGAACACAAAAATACAATATGCAGATGATGTATTATAGAATTGCACACTTGAAACATATAATTTTATTCACTAATATCACCCCAATAAACTCAATTTAAAAAAAAAAAGACGATTTGTGGAACAAATGAATTTACTATAGACTTTGAAAACCCAAACAAATGAGATGCCCAGGTCTCAGAACTCACAGATGGTTGACACAAACCCCTGCTGGCATTCTCTGAGAGCTCACAGGGAATTGGAGAAGGCCAGAAGACTAGAACTTGGTAAACATTATCCAGGACCTTTTTTCCCCCAGTATGTCTGAGAATTTTTATTTTATTTATTTTTTTATTTTATTTTATTTTATTATTTTATGTTTTGCTGAGAACATTTAAGTTCTCTCTTAGTAAACTTCCATCATAATGTAGTGTTATCAATTGTAGTTGCCATGTTATGTATTAAAACCTTATACCTTATTCATCTTATAGCTGAACATTTGTACCCCTTTACCAATGTCTCCCTAATTCCCTCATGCCCCAGCTCTTGGCAACCACTTTTCTACTCTATTTATATGAGATTGGCATTTAAAAAATCCACATATAAGTGATAGTATACTGTATTTGTCTTTCTTTTTCTGGTTTATTTCACTTAGCATAATACCCTCAATGTCCATCCATGCTGTCTCAATAGTAGGTTTTTCTTTTTGTGGCTGAATAATATTCCATTGGGGGGCGGTGGGAAATGTGTGTGTGTGTGTGTGTGTGTGTGTGTGTGTGTGTGTGTGATCTTCTTTATCCACTCATCCATTTGACAGATTGACAGGAACTTGGGTTGTATCATGTCTTGGCTACTGTAAATAATACTGCAATCAACATGGGAGTGCAGATATCTCTTTGGGATAGTGATTTCATTTCCTTTGGATATATACCCAGAAGTGGGATTAGGTAATTCTTTTTTTTAAATTTTTTGAGGAGCTACCATACTGATTTCCATAGTGGCAGTTCCAATTTAAATTCCCAATATTCAAAAGGCTATTGCACAAGGTTTCCTTTTCTCCACATTCTTTCCAACACTTGTTATCTCTTGTGGTTTTTTGTTTTTTTTTTTTACTATAGCCATTCTAATAAGTGTGAGGTGATATCTCTAGTTTTGATTTGCATGCATTTCCCTAATCCGTCCACATGGGAACACTAGCTGAGGGAGGTTTATAAATTGCAGTGAGCATGTATAAGGTAGTGAAACACTGATTGTTCAGGATGCATTGTATCTTATCTGGATATATATTTACACCAAGAATCCCTTCCTTTATCCCTTTCAAAGTTTCTTTAGAATAGATGGCAGAGTAGAATGGGCTGTGCTAGGTATGCTTACGTATTTATTCTCCATCCAAAAAGATGTTTTCAACTGCCCCCACGTTGAATATTCCCAGGGCTTCAAAGGGCTGCCTCACCAATTAAAAATAGTTTCACTAAATTCATTAGACATTTCCCCAAATTTACATTTTAGGCCTATTTATTGGGTGGCTGCTATGTTAGTACCATGTTTTGAAAAGGTAAATAAGGCTGGAACCCCTAAATATCCCTTTCTTTCTCTCTCTATCTCTCTCTCCACTTCTACAACCCAAAAGAGCATACTAAAATTTTAACAATAATTAGTAGCTTATGTAATATTTGTATTCTTGTGTTGGTTTTATAATTATTTTAAAATCAGTATTTTGATTCTCTCCTTTATAAGGGTGCAAATGCAAAAAATAAAGAAGTGACAGAAATTTTCAAATGGAGATAAAGTTATAGCCAGAGAAGCATGCCCTAAAAGAGTTTGATTTAGAGAGAGAGAGATGGGCATCTTAAAAAATTGATCAATTCAGTAAAATATGAAATACAATGGTAAGCTGGGAGAGTGAAATTAGAGCAAAGGTTCTCATCCCTAGCTATTCATGGAAACGAACTCCGAGGCTTTCGACAAAATAGAGATGCCTCGTGTCTACCCCCACAACATTGAATTAGCAGATGTGGGATGAGGGGTCAGCACCCAGATTTAAAAAATTATTCCAGGTGATTCTGATCTATAGCGAAGTATTGAGGGCCACTGTTTTACAGCAACTACATTCTGCCTGTGGGTGTTCCAGAACACAGCAATAGGAAATGCTGGTTGAACTGAGTCTTGGAGGATGAATAGGAGTTTGATGTCAAAAGGTAATCTGAACAGAAGAAACGGGGGATTTACAGTCAAGAGCCAGGCCAGGACCATGTTGATATGGGGATTTGTAAGCGTGGAGGATGTGCGTGTGAAAGAAGAGAGGGCATGGGTACCCACTCAGGGGGCAGAGAGAATGTGAGGGCTGGAACTCATGAGAGAGAGTGCTGGGCACTCGGGACCCTGTGGGCTATACGGGGAAGATCTGGTCACAACGCCAGGTGGAGACAGAAGAGGCCACAGGTAGTGAGGGCCACAGGGCAGGATTTCGGAGTCATTTTTAAGGCGGAAGTCACCAAGTTTGACAGCTGTACATGCTGTGTTAGCAATATCATTTCCGAGATATTTTTGAGTCTTCACTTATGTATTTTCCCCTCAAATAGTAGAAAGCATTCTCTCGTATTCACATAGCCCCTGCTATTTTGCCTTTTCTCTATATGCTTAGAGACTACTGTAAAAAAAAAAAAAGGATTCCCTGTCACTATGTAACAGAATGAGATTTACATATACATTCATTTACATACACATAGATTTTGCATTCACATATACATTTTTTTCTGTATCAATAAGTCACCTTCCCCAGAGCGCATACTGAATAAGCCTGGAAGCTGGGGGAGGACAGGAGCGAGAGAATTCAGCGAGCCCAGTCTGTGTGCCCTTGTGCCCTCTCACTTGACATTTGTGAATGCAGACGTGTCTGACAAGTGTAAATGAGGGTGTCACACCTCGGAGTGGCACCCATTTCCACCTCGCCATTCCTCAGGCGTGTGCTCGGCGATGAACGTGCTATTATCATCTTCCAGTATTTTCTCAGTCGGAATTTTGTAGAGTGCAGTGGTGAGTTCTGTGATTTCCAAGGCATAGACACGTATCTGCTTCTTTCTCCTTGCAGAATTCAGCGCATTTTCAAATACCTTGAAAAGGTGCCGGAACGAGAAAAAGAAATACTCAGTGTTTAACCAGCGGACAGAAGAGGCGTCTGCCACACAATACTTCCAGGTCAGGGAAGTTGCCCCAAGTGGAATTGACTTGTTTCAACGTGTCACACACCTGTGAATACATCTGAACAGGGTGGTGGGTGGCGAGGAGACTATTGATACTGTACTGCAGTGGTTCTGAGAGCATGGTCCCCTGAGCAGCAAGAGTAGCATCACCTGGATGGGAATCCCCACTCTGTCACTTATCAAGTTGTCAGGACTTGGGCAATTTTCTGAGCCTCAGTTTCCTTAGCCAAGGAACACAATTCATCAGATTGTTGTGATGATTGAATTTGATAGTAGGATGTATGTGAAGCACTTAGAATAGTTCCTGGGAATAGAAAACTACCAAAAGATGGCAGGTATAATGAAGATATGTATTGCTTATGGGTACAAATCCATAAGCAATAAATATCTTTTGCCATCTGGCTTGCTTCATCAGGGTTACCACCATCACTGCCTTCGGCTGCACCACCACCCTCAACCAGGAGTTCTACCCAAGTTCTGTTTTTCTTTCTGGGCTGATGGGACTCATGTGTCTGTCAAAGCCGCAGCTTCCCTGTGTGTCAGGCTAGGCCTGCCTTGACCAGGTGGCTGTAAGAACCAGAAGCTCATGCGGGTGCTGCCTTGCGGGTTGTTTACGCTCCCTCTGGCTCTCTTTTCCTTGCAGTTTTATGGCTGCATTTCCCAGCAGCAGAACATGATGCAAGATTTTGTGAGGACAGCCACTTACCACAGAGCCATCCTTCAGAACCACGTTGACTTCAGAGACAAGGTAATGCTGGCTGCAGGCCATTCATCTCTTATCAGTGGTTATAACCATGTTCAGAAGTCTTGCCAAAAGCTAGAATCAAAACTAAGCTTTGATAGAATTATCATATGACCCTAAAATTCCACTCCTAACTATATACCCCCAAAATTGAAAGCAGATTTTTAATCAACTGTATGTACATGAATCTTAAGCAGCACTGCTCACAATAGTCCAAAAGTGAAAACAGTCCAAATGCTTATCAACTTATGAGTAGATAAAAAAAAAAGTGGTATAACCATGAAATAGAGTATTTTGAATATTACTTATATTTCTATTATCCATAAAAAGGAATGTAATGCTGATTCATGCATCAACATGGATGAGCCATGAAAACATGCTAAATGAAAGAAACCAATGACAAAAGCTCATATGATTCCTTTTATAGGAAATATCCAGAATTAGCAAATCATATAGAGAAAGCAGACTGGTGGTTCCCAGAGGCTTGGGGATGAAGGAAATGGGGGTGGCTGCTAAGTGGGTTCAGGGTTGCCTTGTTAGGTGATGAAAATGTCTACAAACTTGATAGAGGTGATGGTTACACAACATAGTGAATGTACCAAATGCCACTGAACTGAACCCTTTAAAATGATTCATGGTTAATTTTATGTTATGAGAATTTTACCTCAGTAAAGAAATTAAGCTTTGAGTGTGGAAACTCAGGAGGCTGTATGCACTGTTTTGGTGCACAGAATAGGTTAGGAGCCTAATAGCTACCTAAGGATTAGCTCTTACTGTGTCGATTTACTTCCTTTTTTTTATTTTATGGACTCCACAAGTGCCTGCATTTATTTCCTTCACAAAACGGATCTGAATGATGAATGATTGTGAACACATCATTGTTCTCCTACCTGTGTTTGAACACAAACAAAGTGTTCAAAATACGGTACAGTTCATCTCAAAGATGAGTACTGCTCAGTGGAATCAGCAGTCATAAGACCTAGTTTCGTATTTTCCCCATGTGTGATCTTAGGCAAAACACTAATTTCTCTGAGCTGCACAGTCTCTTCCACTACCATTGTAATTGTAGATCTGCAGTATTAATTCCCCAAGAAGGAGATGGTGGAACATTGAAATAATGATCCAAATGACTCATGCTTCCCTGTCTTCACATCCACTTGCAAAGTTACGTAGCTGCTTCTTTCATCACGAAATGGTCTAATTTTTTACCCCCTATCTCTGTGCTGTCCTTGTGATGTACTTTGATCAATAGAATAACAGAGATGACACTGAGCGAGTTTCAGATCCTGGGGCTTAAAGAGCCTTGTGACTTCTGGTCTCGCCTTCTTAGAACCCTGAGAACAGCATACTGGGAGGAAGCCCAGTTTAGCCAAATGGAGGTGGAGAGGTCGCATGGAGGAGAACTGAGGCAATCCAGGCAATAGCCAGCACCAACTGCCAGACCTATGAGTGAGGGCATTTGGGACCTCCAGGTCTAACCATACCTCCAGCTAAATGCAGAAACATGAGTAAGTCCAAGCAAAACCAGCTGAGAAACTGTCCTGCCCTCCCATAAAGTTGGGAGAAGTAATAAATTGCTTCCAGTTTAAGCCACTACATTGTGATGTGGTTTGTTCTGCAGCAATAGCTAATTAAAGCAGAGAGATCAAGAGTGAAAAGGTTGTGATAAATAAACCTCCAGTTAGAAGTTGATTTGCCTCTGGCTTTCTTTCCTCTGCAGCTCCATTCTGATATCAAGCCCATCAGACATTTTTTGTTGTTCTTCTCATATTTTTCAATTCCAAGTTTCTATTTGGCTCTTCTTTATGCCATTTGGTTTTTGACTGAGACTTTCTGTTTTTCCATTGATTTTAGCAGTGTTCATGATTACTAGTTGGAACTTTTTAAATAAAAGCTGCTTGAAAGTTTTTGTCAGATAATTCTAATGTCTATGTCACTGCTGTGTCAGCATCAGTTAATTATCTTTTCCCAAGGAATTGAGATTTTCCTGATTCTTAACATGCCAAGAAATTTTGGATTATATTATGTGCATTTTTCATATCATGTTCTCAGACTCTATCTAGGACTTGTTTAAAGCCTGTGGATAATGTATTTTTGTTTTTGTATTCATTCAACCTGGTTAGGTTCAAGCTGTGAATTCCATGCCACTAGTTGCTCTTCTGAGGGCTCTGGTTCCTATGTCAGTTCAGTTTTCAAACCTCTAGCCGTATTGTTTGGATCTGTCCCATGTGCATGTCACCCAGTGGTCAATATGGCACCCTAGTGGAGTTCTCAGTTTTAGTTTCCTAATAAAGATAAAATCTATGCATGCACAGGTTGAGGATAAAGCAAGGAATTTATATATAAAACAACAACAAAACCCCACCGGTGGTTCAGTGAATTGGAGTGTTGTCCCATGCACCAAAAGGTTGTGGATTCAATTCCTGATCAGAGCACATACCTAGGTTGTGGGTTCCATCTCTGGTTGGTTGTATATGGGAAGCAACTGATCGATGTTTCTCTCTCTCCCGTCCTCTCTCTCTAAAATCAATGAACAATGAGGATATTTAAAAAAAAAAACAACAACAACAACCAACAAACACCTTTATACTAAAATCAATGAACATATCCTCGGGTGAGGATATTTAAAAAAAAACAACAACAACCAATAAACACCTTTATGGGGTTGTTTGCCAAGTTCCTTCCTCTTCATGATCTCCCTGCTACTTTTTGGTCTCCTGAACACTTTTCAGTCTCTGGGCCAAAAAGCTCCCTCTGCTGTACACATCTATGACTTTGCCTACACACATATTGGCCAAACAGAGAAAGAGAGGACAAAGATAGAAAGAAAACCAATGGAGGTTGGTTCCAGCCTTTGGGAATGGAGGCACCATTGCATACAGAGGAAGGTTCCCCTCTCTCATAGTTTTGGCTCCTGAAGGCTTATGTGACTGACGACGGCAAGATTGCTGAGGGCTAGAGCATAGAAGAAGGGAGGGAAGGGGAAAAAGGAGGGAGGAGGTAAAAAAAAGAGGAAGGGAAAACAGAGGGTCTCCACTCTGTCTCTGAGCATTAGGACTCCCCTTTCGAGTGTTGGAGCCAGAACTAGAAGGCATCTCCGGGAGCTCTCTTGTCTGTACACTGGTGCCCATTTTTGGTGTGTTGAGTTCAGGCCATGAGTTGAGGGTCAGGGGATATGGTTTGGTGGTATTTCAAATTCTGGTCTCCTTTCCCAATCTACTGCTCCTGTTTTCTTTTCAGGCCTCAAGTAATGCTCCATGCATTCTGTCCAGGTATTACAGCTGTAGTCAGTGGGAGAGACTTGGGGAAGTGGCTTTCTCCAGCTTACTCATGATGGGACATTTTCTCAATGCCAAATCTAGGTACTTAGGTAGGGTGAGGGTGACGGTAAGAGACAGAGGTAAGACCAGAAATGGCCATGCTTGGCTAAGGCATCCCATATGTCTTGCCTTAAGTCTCAAGGTGCCAGGACCCTTGCTTTGCCAGTGGCACATGCCTAGTTAACAGTTATGAAGCTAGCGTTCCTAATGAGGAGGACCTGATTATGGTAGGTGGGTAGGCTGAGGGTAGAGGAGAAAAGCTTGTTTCTTCTGACACCTTATCTGGTATTCAAGATTATGGGTAAGCAGTCATTTTGACCTAAGGTAGGTTTCTTGCCAAATTAAAAATAAAAATGCAACTCTCAACTGTTGATCCATGGCTTGAAGATGTTTTTGAGTGGGTAATACTTTTATTTAGAGAAATCATCTCCCTTTGAATTTGTTCAATTCGAATCTATAATCTGTCTTCTATTATCCATAATGTATTTTCTATATTATCTAAAATCTGATTTTAATTTTGGTTGTAACTTCTAAAGAGCACTCCCCAAACTACTAATCATACTAATACCTTGCATTAGATGACTCTCAGAATTTCATATGGATTATGTCACGTGACCACTCTATTTGTATATCTTTTCATCTATAAAAATGAAGATAGTGGAACAGTTCTTCTCTAAGGTCACTTCCAGCTGTAACTTCATTTGATTCTACAAAATACCCTTTTCCCTGCCAGCCTGAAATGGGTTTATCTGCCAGTAAGATAAAATACTGCTGTTGGGGCTTATAAAGGTGATAATTAATCGCATGGTTGATAATTAATTATATCCCTTTCCCCCTCTGAGTTATGAACTGATTTAAAGGTAGACACAGATGTCAGGTAGAAATCATAATACCAGTGTTATTGTTAGAAATGCTGTTGGGAGTAAAGGACTTGGATGTATGTCCAAACGGAGATTCCTACTTTGTTTTTTCTCCAAACGTTTCTACCCACTAAACAACTGGTCTCCCCAGACGAGTCCAGCGCCTGGAAGGAAAGAAGAAAGAGGAGGTGACCATTTTTACTTCTAGTACTGCCCACTTCTGGTTTTAGTGTCCCAGGAGCCCTCTCAGTCCCAGACTCACTAAGATGACTGGTCACCCTAACTCCAAATCTTCCACAAATCCAGATCCTTTAAAATCCTTTTTGTCTACTTTATCATACTGAAGACCATTTTTAATAACCTGTGTGTCCACAGAGGATGCTACCTTTTCATTAAGCCCTTGTATTCTTTCCCACTGAAACTGATTACCTACAAGGACATGATTAATACCAATGGCTATTATTTATTGAGGAACTCAGTATATGCAAGCACCGTGCTCAGACCTTTCCATACATTGTTTCTGTCTCAGTCAACTCAGGCCGATATAACAAAAATACCATGGACTGGGTGGCTTAAACAACAAACATTTATTTCTCATAGTCCAAGATCAATGTGTCTATAGAGCTGGTGTCTGGTGAGGGTTTATTTCCTGGCTTGTAGACAGCAGCCTTCTCACTGTATGTTCACATGGCTGAAGGGAGAGAGGAAGTAAGCTCTCTCTTGTCTCTTTTTATAAAGTGCACTAATCCCATCATGAGGGCTCCACCCTTGTGACCCAGTCAGGTCCCAAAGGCCACATTTTCAAATACCATCACCTTGGGGGTTA